CATGAGACAAGTGCTCGGGCCTGGTGCACTGGGAAGACCCAGAGGGATCGGGTGGAGAGGGAGGTGGGAGGGAGGACTAGGATGGGGAATACATGTAAATCCATGGCTAATTCATTTCAATGTACAACAAAAACTACTGTAATGATGTAAAGTAATTAGCCTCCAACTAATAAAAAAAAAGGGGGGGGAATTTAAGGGACTCAGCTAGCATGATCCATGGCCCAATTCCATCTCCCCTGTTGAAGATGTTTCTGTTGAGTGTTTTTTGTTTTTGGCCACCACGGGTGTCATGCAGGATTTTAGTTTACTACCAACAGAAATTGAATCCCTGCCTCCTGCAGTGGAAGCGTAGAGTCTCAACCACTGGACAAGCAGTGAAGTCCCAGAGTAATCTCATTTCACATCCTTTTTCTCTCAGTTCCAGCAACTAGCATGATGCAAGAAGAAAGAATTTTACAGAACACCAGAGCACAAACTTGAGGAAACACTTGTTCTCGGGCTCCTACACGAGGCGACTCTGCACAAAGCAGGGATTCAGTATACAATTGTTCAATCAGTGAACGAATCAGTATTTCCTGAAAGCCAGTCCTAACCGCGGGGTTATTCTCGGCTCTTAACCCAGCCGACCGCGATCTCACGGCCTAGCGACGGCTACCCCTCTTCCCTCCCTCCTTCTCTCCCTCGCGTCCTACCCGCTATTAGCTGAAACTGCTCCAGGTCCAACAGCGACATCAGAACGCGGAGCAGCCACCCGGAGCCCCACCGCACGCAGCCAGCCGTCCTCTTCGCCATTGCCGGAGCCTAGCGGGACCGAGGCCTTGAACTTCCTCTTTCTTCCTTTTTCCTCTTAAGAGAGAGCAGCACCTAAGAAGTGGGTGGAACGTGTATTCTCTCGCGTCCAGACCGAACTGTAGGCGTATTTAGCTAAGGGCGCACGTTCACCTACTTAGGTCTCTGGGCCCCTTCTGCAGAACTCTCCGAGGTCGTCTTGATAACTCCGTTCCCAAAGAAGGAAAAGTGTCGGCGAGCGCCTGCTCAGTCGCACCTACGGCAGAAAATGAGGCGCGGTCCGGGGGACACGCAATCCCCGCCTCCGCAGCGCGGGGCGGACTGGCGGATGTGTTGACTGGCGGACGTGTTGACCGACGGGAGGGCGAAGGAACGCGCGCAGGAACGCGCGCACGGGCGGAGGAATGCGCGCACGGGCGGAGGGGCGAACGCGCGCACACGCGGAGGGATGCGCGCACGGGTGGAGGGGCGGACGCGCGGAGGCATGCGCGCCTGGGCGGAGGGGCAGACGCGCGGAGGGGCGGAGGGATGCGCGCACGGGCGGAGGGGCGGACGCGCGCACGGGCGGAGGAATGCGCGCACGGGCGGAGAGGCGGACGCGCGGACACGCGGAGGGATGCGCGCGCACGCGGAGGGATGCGCACAAGAGCGGAGCGGCGGACGCGCGAACCTGTGGACAGGTGGGCGGACGGGCGGGCTGTCTCTAGTATCGCTTTGTAAACTGGGCAGGATCCGGTTAACCCGGGCGCTGCTCTAAAGAAGATCTGCTTAGGGTGGCATGATAAACTTCCCAATAAAGAGTAGCCTTACTGGCATAGTGAATTTAGAGTTAATGTACTAAATTAGACTTACTAATACTATCAGTAACTAAACAGATACTTATATTCTCACTTACCTGCGGAATAAGCAGCACGCACGGTTTTTAGAAAAAGCAAAGAACTTGAGGAGGAACAGGGAGCCCACACTGACACCACTAGCTGAGGGGCCTTCAGAATGTTAGCTTCTGGGCCACAGTTGTAACAAGTAGACTGCAAAGTTAGGTCCAGTTATGGAATTCTAACATCCTAAATTACACCTTTTCTCAACTGCTACGCCTTCCAAGGAGTCGTCCCTGAAGAGAAATCCTCTTCTGGTATTGTTGTTCGGGGCCTAAGTCTGTCTGACTTGCTGCGGCCCCATGGACTGCACCACACCAGGTTCCCCTGTCTTTCATTATCTCATGGAGTTAGCTCAAATTCATGTCCACTGAGTCGATGATGCTATCTAACCATCTTATCCTCTCCCCCTCCTTCTTTTTTTACCTTCAGTCTTTTTCAGCATCAGGGTCTTTTCCAATCAGTGGACTCTTCACATCAGGTGGCCAAAATATTGGCGCTTCAGCATCAGTCCTTCCAATAAATATTCAGGGTTGATTTCCTTTAAGACTAACTGGTTTACAGTGCAAGGGGCTCTCAAGAGTCTACTCCAGCACAACTCAAAAGCATCAATTCTTTGGCGCTTAGCCTTCTTTATGGTCCAGCTCTCACATCTGTATGTGACTACTGGAAAAACCATAGCTTTGACTATATGGACCTCTACCGGCAAAGTGATTTCTCTGCTTTTGAAAACCCGCCTAGGTTTGTCATAGCTTTCCTTTCAAGGAGGAAGCGTCTTTCATTTCATGGCTGCAGTCACCATCCACAGTGCTTTTGGAGCCCAAGAAAATAAAATCTGTCACTGCTTCCACTTTTCCACTTCTACTTGCCACTAAGTGATGGTGCTGGATGCCATGATCTTAGTTTTATGATTGTTGAGTTTGGGGGGGGGGGGGCGTAATTTTTTTTTTTAATTTTAATTGGAGACTAATTACTTTACAATATTGTGGTGGTTTTTGCCATACATTCACATTATCAGCCATGGGTGTACATGTGTTCCCCGTCATGACCCTCCCTCTCACCTCCCTCCCCATCCCATCCCTCAGGGTCATCCCAGGGCACCAACCCTGAGCACCCTGTCTCATGCATTGAACCTGGACTGTCAATCTATTTCAAGTATGATATATACATGTTTTACTGCTATTCTCAAGTCATCCAACCCTTGCTTTCTCCCACAGAGTCCAACAGTCTGTTTTTACATCTGTGTCTCTTTTGCTGTCTTGCATATAGGGTTATCGTTATCATCTTTCTAAATTCCATATGTACTCATTAAAATATTGTATTTGTGTTTTTCTTTCTGACTTAATTTGCTCTGTATAATAGGCTCCAGTTTCATCCAGCTCATTAGAACTGATTCAAATGCATTCTTTTTAAAGGCTGAGTAATATTCCATTGTGTATATGTACCACAGCTTTCTTATCCCTTTGCTATTGGACATCTAGGTTACTTCATGACCTGGCTATTGTAAATAGTGCTGCTATGAACATTAGGGTACATGTGTCTCTTTCAATTCTGGTTTCCTCAGTGTGTATGCCCAGCAGTGGGATTGCTGGGTTGTATGGCAGTTCTATGTCCAGTTTTTTAAGGACTCTCCACACTGTTCGCCATAGTGCTGTACTAGTTTGCATTCCCACCAACAGTGTAAGAAGATTCCCTTTTCTCCACACCCTCTCCAGCATTTATTGTTTTTAGACTTTTGGATAGCAGCTGTTCTGACTGGCATGAGATGGTACCTCATTGTGGTTTTGATTTGCATTTCTCTGATAATGACTGATGTTGAGCATCTTTTCATGTGTCTGTTAGCCATCTATATGTCTTCTTTGGAGAAGTGTCTGTTTAGATCTTTGGCCCATTTTTTGATTGGGTGGCTTATTTTTCTGGAATTGAGCTGCAGGAGTTGCTTGTATATTTTTGAGATTAATTCTTTGTTGCTTCATTTGCTATTATTTTCTCCCATTCTGAAGGCTGTCTTTTCACCTTGCTTATAGTTTCCTTTGTTGTGCAAAAGCTTTTAAGTTTAATTAGGTCCCATTTGTTTATTTTTGCTTTTATTTCTAAAATTCTGGGATGTGGGTCATAGAGGATCCTGCTGTGATTTATGTCGGAGAGTGTTTTGCCTATGTTTTCCTCTAGGAGTTTTATAGTTTCTGGTCTTACATTTAGATCTTTAATCCATTTTGAGTTTATTTTTGTGCATGGTGTTAGAAAGTGTTCTAGTTTCATTCTTCTACAACTGGTTGACCAGTTTTCCCAGCACCACTTGTTAAAGAGATTGTCTTGTTTCCATTGTATATTCTTGCCTCCTTTGTCAAAGATAAGGTGTCCATAGGTGCGTGGATATATCTCTGGGCTTTCTATTTTGTTCTGTTGATCTATGTTTCTGTCTTTGTGCCAGTACCATACTGTCTTGATGACTATGGCTTTGTAGTAGAGCCTTAAGTCAGGCAGATTGATTCCTCCAGTTCCATTCTTCTTTCTCAGGATTACTTTGGGTATTCGAGGTTTTTTGTATTTCCATACAAATTGTGAAATTATTTGTTTTAATTCTCTGAAAAATACCATTGGTAGCTTGATAGGGATTGCATTGAATCTATAGATTGCTTTGGGTAGTATACTCATTTACACTATATTGATTCTTCTGATCCATGAACATGATATATTTCTCCATCTATTTGTGTCTTTTTTGATTTCTTTCATCAGCGTTTTATAGTTTTATATATATATATATATATATATATATATATATATATATCTCATTTCTTTAGATTAGATTTATTCCTAAGTTTGGATTTCCATGCTTGTGATGAGTCTGTTAAGATTTTCTATTTCTTCCTGGTTCAGTTTTGGAAAGTTATACTTTTCTAAGAATTTGTCCATTTCTTCCAAGTTGTCCATTTTATTGGCATATAGTTGCTGATAGTAGTCTCTTATGATCCTTTGTCTTTCTGTGTTGCCTGTTATGATTTCTCCATTTTCATTTCTAATTATGTTGATTTGATGCTTCTCCCTTTGTTTCTTGATGAGTCTGGCTAATGGTTTGTCTATTTTATTTATCCTCTCGAAGACCGAGCTTTTAGCTTTGTTGATTTTTGCTATGGTCTCTTTTGTTTCTTTTGCATTTATTTTTGCCCTAATTTTTAAGATTTCTTTCCTTCTACTAACCCTGGGATTCTTCATTTCTTCCTTTTCTAGTTGCTTTAGGTGTAGAGTTAGGTTATTTATTTGACTTTTTTCTTGTTTCTTGAGGTAACCCTGTGTTGCTATGAACCTTCCTCTTAGCACTGCTTTTACTGTGTCCCATAGGTTTTGGGTTGTTGTGTTTTCATTTTCATTCGTTTCTATGCACATTTTGATTTCTTTTTTTATTTCTTCTGTGATTTATTAGTTATTCAGAAGCGTGTTGTTCAGCCTCCATATGTTGGAATTTTTAATATTTTTTCTTCTGTAATTGACATCTAATCTTACTTCATTGTGGTCAGAAAAGACGCTTGGGATGATTTCAGTTTTTTTGAACTTACCAAGGCTAGATTTATCGCCCAGGATGTGATCTATCCTGGAGAAAGTTCCATGTGCATTTGAGAAAATGGTAAAATTCATTGTTTTGTGGTGAAATGTCCTATAGATATCAATTAGATCTAACTGGTCCATTGTATCATTTAAAGTTTGTGATCACACATGAAAAGATGCTCAACATCACTCATTATCAGAGAAATGCAAATCAAAACCACAATGAGGTACCATTATACGCCAGTCAGGATGGCTGCTATCCAAAAGTCTACAAGCAATAAATGCTGGAGAGGGTGTGGAGAAAAGGGA